TTAGGTGCTCCTGAACTAAGTAACATACAGTTTACCATATCCATTAGGATTCTATTCTTTTGTTTAGCTACCCCGTTAGACTGTGGTGTATAGGAAGCAGTAATCTCATGAATAATATCGTGTTCTTAGTAATATTCAGTCATATAATTTGAGGTATACTCCCCCCACGATCAGATCTAAGTATCTTGATCTTCCTGTTAAGTTGGTTCTCAGATTCAGCTTTGTACACCTTAAATCTATCTAAGACTTCATCTTTAGTTTTGACAAGATAGGTGTAACAATATCTGGAGCGATCGTCTATAAAAGTCACAAAATACCTCCTACCCCCTCGGGTGAGAACTCGGTTTGAGTCACACACATCACTATGAATTAATTCGAGGGGTTCAGAGTTTCTAGTTATAGACTTGAAGGGTTTTTTAGTGTGTTTCCCTTGAATACAGATTTCACACTTAGATGAGGGATCATGAGAAGATTTGGGAATAAGGTTTAATTTACTCATTCTCTGCAAGGTTTGGAAATTGACATGTCTAAGTCGTCCATGCCAAACATCACAAGACTTAACAATTTATGCAACAGAAAGCTCAGGAATTTTATTAGAACTGGAATTGATTACATTGAGTTTGAAAAGGCCATTACAGATAAAACATTTTCCTATGAAAACATTACTCTTTGTAATCACAAATTTGTTGGATTCTTTTACAATCCTATAACCAGCTCTAAGAAGAAGAGATTCACTAATCAGATTACGACGGAAAGAAAAAACATGATAAACGCCTTGCGGATGCAGAGCTTTCCCAGAAGTCATGGTGAGCTCTATACGTCCACTTCCTATTATTGGTTTAGTGGAGTCATCTGCTAAGCTTATGCTTCCTCCATGTGATTCCTGATAATTTGAAAACCAAGAGCAATCATTACAGACGTGAATATTTTCTCCGGAATCCAAATACCAATCAGTGGAAGAAGTTAGAAAACTTACAAGATGAGATGAAGAGGCTAACCTGAAGGAGGTTGGATTCATTTCAATCATATTTACTTTGTTTGATCCATTTCTTTTAGGGGCAGGTTTGACCGGTTTCTTCTTCCAAAAGAAACAGTTAGGAGCCATGTGATTGGTTCTACCACAGGCATAGCAGAACTTTCCATCAGACTTATGGCTGGAAGAGTTGGGATTTAATTTGAAGGAAGATTTGTCGAAAGGTTGTTGGTTTTTCTTGAATTTCTTCCCTTTGGGTTTGAAATTCCTAGATTTAGGCTTATCCTCTACCAAGTTTACTTTAGCTTTTGATTCATTCTTGGTTTTGGAATTTTGCCTATGCTGGTCTTCAATACGAATAGCCTTGAGGGCTTCAGTTAAAGTTAGATCTCCTTGCTTGTGTCAGAGATCTCCAGCAAATCTAGACCAGGAGGGAGGGAGTTTATCAATCAAACATGAAACTTTATAGTCGTTAGTAAAAGTGTTTCCTTTTGATTGGAGATGACGGAGGAAATCTAAGAATTCATGAATTTGTTCATTAACGGGCTTGTCATCAACCATCATGAACTTATTGAAGGAGGAAGAAGTGAAACGCAGAATTCCGGCATCATCATAGACATATTCTGTTTCAAGGGTATTCCATAGGTCTTTTGTACTTTTGAACTTATAGTATATGTCATAAAGGTTGTCCGCAATTGCACTAAGAATCCTATGACAACAATGATAATTAATTTCTTCTGGTTTCATAGAGCTAGAAAAGGAGCTAGCACAAGAACCAGAAGTGGAAGGAGCAGGTTGTTCAGGATCAGGAGTCAAAGGTTATGAACCACTAGTAGAAGACTTAGAAGTGTCAATAGCAGATAAGAGACCTAAGGTAGTGAGCCAGTATCTCATCTGATTAGCCCACCGTTTATAGTTGACACCGGTAAACTTCTCAGGTTTGACACTTTTTGAATGATCAGGAATTGCCATAAGTCCAATTCAAGTTTACTAGTCTAGGTAGATGGAATCTGATAGAATAAAGGATTTTGTCAATACTACTAGGCGAGAAACTTAATTAAACCTGCTCTTAACCAAAAACTCTGAAAGTGAAACGATTAAAGTTTTACCCGGATAGTTTGGCTAGGTAAGGATAGTATTAGAGGTTGATCAAAGATCTATTAAGTACCTCGTTACTTGCAGAGCGTTTTACGCAACCCTTAAATCTTGCCTTAGATACTAACTAATCCAAGAAAACTTGAACCGGTTCACTTAAAGATTTCTTGCTCCTTTACTGTATATATGTATATGAAAAGTGACAGATATAGAAATTGAGTACAGTAGCAACTAATTTAGAGGCAAAATTGGTTAACAAATTAAAACAGTTAACTATAGGTTACAAATGCAGATTTAAAATTAACAGCAAAATAAATCAATCTTCTAGATTACTGTCAAAATAGGAATATAATAATAATATAAAATCCAAATTAAAGAGTTAGAAAATTCAGGCCTGATTGGGAGCAGTCGTAATGCCACTGTCCTAGAAGATTAAGGACCCGCCTATCATCCTGGCACAATTTGTCCCCTCTCCCCTAGCGGTAAAAACTCTCGAAATCGGCCGACCTCTACGTTCGGGCGTGAGTCACGGAGCTTATGCTCAGATGAAAACGGTTGCCCAAAATATAAATGTAAAAGTGTAGCCAAAATAACTTGGGAGAAAGAGAGTGGAGAAAGAGAGCTTTGAAAGTTGTTCTTCTCGTTGTTGTATATCTGAATGAGGTCTACGGCTGCTTATATAGGTAAGGAGAAGTGTAACCCCCGCTGAATCAAAAGAACCGTTACGCACGAATTTCGCTTCCGTTACCCGCATACAGTCGTTACAAAACGTGTAAAACGTGTAAAACGTGTAAAATAAAAGCTTGAGAAGCAAAAAAAAAGTGTATGTGTGCGGTGCGGCGTAGCACGTGCGAATGAGGCGTGGCGTGCGTGCGTGCGCACGCGTGCGTGAGATAGATATGCAAAGCCCACAAAATCCAAAACACTATTCAAAGCCCAATAATGAGAGAATCATTATATACCCTATACTATTCATCTCCTTTTCCAATGTAGGACTATCCACAAATGCAAAATTGCCTTTTCATGAACAAAACATCCAACAGTTTTTACTAATAAAGAAGAAGAGTACAAACTGAGATTACAAATTACTCAAACTCACTAATTAATCTCACCAACAAAGCTCTTAATCTCTCAAACAAAACCCTAACTAATAGCTTAGAAAAAACTCCCTTTTCTGTGCTCTAAAGAAACCCTTGACTGTTCTAAAGAAACCCTAAAACATGGTTGCTATTTATATCAAACAGCAATCCAAAACAGAAGAGGAAACCGCAATCAGACCCAAACCCGATTGGTGGTCGACCGTCGAAATTGTCACGGTCGACCGGACAGAACGACAAAAACCAAAAAATGCATTACAGGGTCCGTGGTCGACCGCACTTGACGCCGTGGTCGACCGGTCAGAAAATTAAAAAACACCCTGTAGTCGTGCACGTTTGCGATCAACCGCGCCAAAGCTCACGGTCAACCGGCAAGCACCCAAATGCTTGTCTACATCAAATTTCCTGATGTTCTCTAATGTTTTCGTCGTTTCTACATCATCTTCTTTACATGTAAAGACTGCAGAAGGACGAGTCACAAAGGTGTTTAATATGAGAGAGACGGAGTGTGTGTAGTGTTGACGAGGTCTGATGAGTCATAAAGACTTTCATGATTGGAGAAATGATGACTCTGATCATGCATTTAATATGATGGCAATTGACTGTCGGCGGGGGCCGATGATACAACACCCTTCTACTCGGCTTCACTAGAGGGTTGACAAACGACGCCTTTCATTTCGGTCTTGCAAGTGGGCCAATAAGTACCGCCTTGTTAGCCGGCCTCGAAGGTTGTCGACCCGGGCATGTGGAGTGAAGGGGAGTGAGATCAACTTGAATGGTGAGTCAAGTGATAGTGCTTCTTGACTTGGCCCTTCTTGGAAAGGGACGAATGTTCACGCTATCCAAGTCGCCCTGGCCAGCGTGATCTAATGATTAGTTGGAATGGGACACGTGACGACTCTAGAGGTAGAGGTAGGACAAACACTTAGGTATTTGTAGGATATATCAAAAAGCATAAGTCTTTCTGATCCTTTTGGTAGATGATTATTTTTAAAAATTATAATATTTCTAAATATCTAGATAAATAGAGGATAAATTCGAAATCCAATTCCACAAGTGGTTATTGCAAATTTATACTAGTCCTTCAAATCTACAATAATTTATATCAATCCCTCAAATATTTTATATTGCTCGTGAGTTCACCAAAATACCCAATAAGATTGAGGGACCAAATTGCAAGATCCCTAAGAAGTTGAGGTGCTCATGAGCAACGTCAAAGATTTGAGAGGAGCTGATATCTGGAAACTTCCACAAAGCCCTTCCCCCTCCATCCTCTCCCCTATACACCCCCACCATGCACTCCGCTCCCTCCCTCCGGCGCCACCCGCGACCCGACCTTCGAGAATAATGTCGACTACAAGATATACATAAAGCCTCACCTCCGCGACCTCATCCTTCTGCCCCCAACCAAAACCTGCCCCTTCCTTCCTCGCCCACCCGCACACCACCAGCGCCTTCACCTACCCAGCGGGGCCCCACCCTTCTCCCTCCCCCCACCTCTTCGCCCCTCCCCGGACCCCACCACCCTTCCCCCGTCCTTCCCTCACCCCCGGCCGCCGCCGCCATCTCCGCGCGATCCGCCGCCGCCGCAGATCGTGAGGTGGAGGAGAGGCTGGTTAGCGTTTTGAGGATGTCGAGGGAGAGGGCGGTGCGTCATGAGCGGGGTGTTAAGTGGTTTGGAGGGAGATGGGCTGCCGATAGATTTCGAGGGAGAGGTTTCAGAGGAGCAGATTGTTCAGTTAGGGAGAATTGAAAGGATGAGGATACGCATTTGATCGAGTTGTCGCGAGCGGTTTTGTGGTGAGTGGGTTGTGGAGGTGTGGAGGAGTGGACGCGCTGGAGCGAGGGGAGGGAGGAAGAAGGTGGATGAGATGGAGCTCAGGTTTTACTTTCTTTATCTTTTTTGGCTTAATTGCAGTTGCATACCCTATAGTTTCCGCTACTTCGCAGTTATATACCATCACTTACCATCACTTGTTTTTGGCAGCAATTATATGCCTTAAGTTTTTAAATTTTGCATATTAATACCCTCAGTTAACAAACATGAGAACCCTCATGAAAATTCTCATGCGATAGTCACGTGCTAATTATAGAATATCTTAACTCTTAGTGTTTGTTAAATTTATGGTGAATCCTATCAAAGTCATACTTCAGTATAGAATTAGATAAGTTTGAATTAGAGTTGTGACAGTTTTAACAGTGAATTTAACGAATAATCTATTTTGACAATTTGATACATGAAAGTGCACAAAAACAAGGTTAATTTTGGTGAAGAACATTGGTATAGAAGAGTGAATGAGAATTAGATTTTCTTACTAAATTTCAGTTTTTGGAGCCAACGGAAAGTGAGGATATTGGGGTATCAAATTGTCAAAACCGAACTTTATAGTACCAAAGTTGAAAAGATTTTAACTTTTGGGGTTTTAAAGTGCAAACGACTCTAATATGTCTAATCTGTCTATACATTCGCTAGCGCTTATAATTGCTTTATGGATTTATTGCACCTTAATATCCTAAAGTTTCACCTATTTTTAACTTTGATACCCTATGTTTATTTTTGTCCAAATAATAGCTGAAAGTTTTCATGAATTTTTAACTTTAATACCTTCAGTTATATCACTGTGTAAAATTATGTTTTAAAAGGCCTTGCATGATTATCATGTAAAACATTTGGATTTCTTATAACGGCTGTTTAACAATATTCACAAAAAATATTTAGAGGACATTTCTAAACTCCAAGGAATAGTCAACAAGAAAAAAAAATTTGGTTGAAGTTAATGGTGATGCAATGTAAGGTATTAAAGTTAAAGAGGGTGAAGCTTTGAACAGTACTTGGGATCTAAACTTCATGGTGCCAAAGTTTAAAACCCGAGAAACTTTATGCTATTAAATGTAATTACCCTTATTATATTAGCACTTATCATTTCTAGATTGATATTTTTAGGAGAATAAATTGTAGATGATCATCCTCTCCCTCGGGTCTAAGTATATTGAGGGAGTTTATCCGCAATTTACTCTAGTTTTGTTATGGTTTTTGGGATTTGGTTTTGGATTGTTTATGTTTTTGGATTATAATCAGTGAAAGATACAATTTTTAGTTATTTAGTAGCCTAAATGAGGTGAAACGCAGCCAATTTTTGCTGGAATGTTATGTTCCATTGACCTCCCATTCATAATTCTGAGGATTTTTTTTCTCAAAAAAGTTGAGAATTTTTTTGGGGAATTTCTTGGTTTTTGAAGATTTCTTTCATTTACTCTTAGTTCTAGTCTTCTAGATAATAATGATTAAAGCTTCATCATAGCCTGAACATGTTGAAGCATGACAAGTTTCTGTTATATATATATATATATGAGTAGTATATATATATAAGGAATCAGGATGGAGCTGAAGCTGTCATTTTTTTTAGGTTTTTCTATTTTCTTGAATATATGTTTTGGTATTTTCAACAGCAAATTAGTACTAAAAAGTTTATGTTATGTAATAGAAGCCTAAATCTGGTACAATAAAGTAAATTTCTGGGTAATTTCACTTGAATATTAACCAAGTTAAGATACATTTGAATCTCTATTTATTTTTTTTATTTTTTTATTTTTTTTGTACATTCAAATAACTATACTACCGCATGAATACTGTGATCTGTAAAAGTTAATACTAGCATCCAAAATTGACACAATCTACTTCAAATTAGAAGCAAGAAACAAGAGTGCCTTAACTATTCTGGTGTCTAGAAAGTCCCTGAAACTCAAGTAGCAGCCTAAACATTCTGGTCTTCTGCATGTGTTATCAAGAAGTAAGGATTTTTGCTTGTGAGATGTCCATGAACTAGGTTCATTTATGCTATGACATTAGATATATCTCCAGTAAAAAATTCTACTCTAGGAGAAATTATTTTCAAATGCAGGTACGGCTTCAAACAAGAATTCCCTCCAGGAATGAAACTCACCAAGAACTTCCGATCAAAGCTCAAAGAATGGCAGCAACTTCCTTATGTTCGACCCTACGAACCTTTTGATGGCAGATTAAAAAGATCAAAAGACGGATTAAAGAGAATGGAGAAACGAGCAGTAGGCATGGTTCATGAGTTCTTGAGCTTGACTGTGGAGAAAATGGCGGAAGTCGAGCAAGTGAGCCAATTTAGGAAATGGTTCGGTATTGATCTCAATATTAGGGATTTGTTTCTTGATCACCCGGGTATATTCTATGTTTCTAGTAAGGGGAAGAGGCATACGGTGTTTTTAAGAGAGGCGTATCATAAGGGGAGATTGATCGAATCAAATCCTATTTATGAGGAGAGGATGAAGCTTCTTGAGCTTGTGGCGATGCGGCGAAGAGGAATGGTTGTTACAAATGATCGTAATACAGTGAGAATTAGAACGAGAGCAGTGGAGGCGGAAGAGAACGGAGAAGAGGAGGAGGAGGAGAGTTTGTAGATTCTTGAAGATTCCAAACTCTGTGTTTGAATTGGAAGTAGGAAATGGGATTGAGTGGGTTATGGGGCAAGCACGTGAAAGCACAGTATCATCAGCAGGTAATGACGTCAGGGGGTTTGTTGCAAAAACTTCTTAGTACAGGGAAGTTATGTACAAAATCCCCAAAGTTCAGGGGGCTAGGAAAAATTTACCTATTTCCTCACCATTGCAACGCACATGCACCAAAAGTCCACTCTTAGCAAAGTGGTGAATTGTTAACCTTTGTGCGTGCTGCATGAATTGTGAAGGCTCTGGTTTGGTAAATAATTATGGGGACAACATGGTTAAGTAGCTGAGGACATATTGAACTGCCATTTGGAGTCTCTTGAAATAACACTTAAGCTCTTAGAAATTGGTCAACCAAAATGATCTAATGAGGGCAGCAGAAGTACTGGCTATTCTTGCACTTGGAGCGCGATTCTGCATCAGTATTTCTTGGTTGGAGAAGTTTAAGTTACAGAGCATTCTGGTTTGGTATATTTCACAAGGTCACTGGTTCACTATTTCTGGTCCATAGTGATTGGGATTTTCTCACTGACAACTGCAAGTTCTGCTCAGCTTCTTATTTGGGCTAAACACAAACAGTTGTAATCATGAGAAAAGGCCTCAGGAATTGTATGATATTTTGCAGATTTTGTATCATCTCATTCCTCATCGAAATCCTTGGTTTCCGGTGGAAGTTTGTTGGACCCCTGTGTCTGGTTGGGTTGCGCGCAGGTTGGCCCCCTGATTCGCGGATCCTGATTCAAGATGTATAACATATTTACTAGTTATCGAAGTCATAAAAATCTAGTAGTATTCCTGTTCTTGCAGTATTGACATAAATTGCTGTTCCTAATCTGTGCAGTATTGACATACTTCCATAGTTGTTTATTACTCCTTTTGGAAATAAACTGCTACTACTTATTCTAACGGGAGAGGTTTTGGTTTAGCATTTTTCTAATTTTTTTAAAAAAAAATTATGTGTTTAATAGAAAATTGACACGTGCAAATATGCGTGATACAGAAAGAAATATTGTTTTTGTCTATTTTATTTGTTTAAAAAGATGAAAATTATAATTCCCTCCTTATTTCTTACCACATCTATTTTCTCTATTGTAGATATTTTAAAAGAAAAGGCAAATACTTGTCATTTAGAAATCCATGATTATATAATACGCCATTTTATTTATTTATAATATTGAATTATGCGGGTTTACATTTTTTTCATCATATGGAAATGATATAGGAAATTCTAAAAGTCAAAAAGGAAAATTAAATAATTAATTGTTGCAAAATTATAAGTTTACCATTTAAATTAAAATGGAAAGAAAGACGTGTGTACTTTTGCTTCAAGATTGTATTGTCCCCACATGGTTTTTTATTTAGTTTTATGGATATCAGTATAGATTTTTGTCTCTAGCATCTCATTCGTGATTTTTTCATCATAATTTATAGAAAGTTCTTCTCAAATTCTCTTTTTATTTTCCCCTTTATATCAAATCACAACATAGTCACTTCATTAGCTTGGTCCGACAATACAATTCCTTCTTTAAATTTTTTTAATATTAAATTGAAAATATAACGAAGAGCCAATGTTTTTAAATTACTTTTTTCCCTTGACAATTACTATCTATACTACAATATGATAGAAATAGTGGGAGTAGACCAAAAATGAATGAGAGGTGGACATTAGGGCTGTTAATCGGTTTGAATGGTGTGGTTAATAGCTGACACCGAATACCAAACCGATCTATTTTTTCGGTTCAGTTCGGTTTGGTTTTTCACTTATTTTTTCATAAACCAATTGTGTTCGGTTTAGTTCGGTTTGGTTTTTCTCTGGTTTATATCGGGTTTTTTCGGTTATTCTATAAAGAAAACAAGTCTAGAAAAGTAGAAAGTAGAAATGTCTCATATTACATAACCGTTTCCGAAAAGAAAAAAAAGAAAAAAAAATGAAAAAGGGCAGCCCACAATGCCACACAACAGTTTTCGAAAAGAAAAAAAAAAGCGATGAAAAACTAGAATAGCAGAAACATGTAGATGATAGATCAGCACTTCAAGTTCAGCAGCAAGCTCCTCCATGACCAACATTTGGGGAAAGGAAAAGCTACAGTACCACGTGACAGAAGGGATTTCTTCATCGGTGACGAGAGAACCTAAGATTTGGGGCCGATGAACGGGAGAACCCTAGATTTGGGGGCGATGGACGAGAGGGGACGAGACGGAGCGCGAAGGACCAAAAGCTCGTTGGGTTTGGGACTTTGGGGGCGATGGACGAGAACTCAGATTCTCAGAAGCCCTAGAAATATAATTAAAGTCTAATGTAGACTATGTAGTAATGTTGGAACGCAAGCCAAGGCTATCCTTTTTTTAGGCTTTATTTAAGCCCAAGTTTGAAGTTTCTACATAAAATTTTATGTATATTAATAATATATATCTATAAATAATATAATTTCCTTACAATATATATAATCGGTTTTTCGGTTTGGTTTCGGTTTCCAGACATCCGAAACCAAAACCACACCAAACCTTTCGGTTTTCGGTTATTTTTTTGCGGTTTGGTGCGGTTTTTTTCTTTCCTTGGTTTTTTCGGTTTTGGTTCGGCTTTGGTGTGGTTATTTTTTCGGTTATCGGTTTTCAACTTACAGCCCTAGTGGACATTTCCTCCATTCTTATTGTATTAGAAAGTGTATGTTGGGTCCTTTTGTTTTGATGATGTATTTACAAATAATTTACAACTAATGTTATTTGTCTAGTGTTTGTATTTTGTATTTATTCTAGGCAAACAATATTTTGGAGGACAAATTTTCAAAACCAACCCATTTGAATATTTTTTTGCAAAAAACGACCTGTTTCCAAAATATTTGTAAAAACCGACCTGGTTTCAGCCCAGATGCTGAAACCAGGTCGGTTTTTGTAAAAACTTTTCCGAAACTTCACGTGAGTTCAACTCCCGTGAAGTTTAGTGTATTTTTAAACTTCACGAGAGTTGAACTCCCGTGAAGTTTAATTTCTTCATAAATCTTCATGGGAGTTCAACTCCCGTAAAGTCTGTTACAGTGTAAAAAATCCCACGCGATTCTTCTACTTCTTTTTTCTCCTCTTTTGCTCTAAGCCATCTTCATCCTCTGCATTCAACCCTGGATTCACCACCTCCTCTCCCCTCTCCTTCTCTTTCTTCACTAGAGCTTTGGTCTTGTTCTTGCTTCTGTTACTATCACATCTACAAACAAAAAACCCAGTACAAAATTTAACCCAAAAAAAATAAAAAAAAATCACGGGCCTTGCTCAATTTACTCATCAACCGACCTCTGAGGTAAAGCCCCTCGTGAGATGAAACGGTAACTTCAATGAAGTGAGGGTGCTCGAGATGGCGATTTCTGCAGAGGTAATACACAACAGGGATCTTCCTACTGACTTGCTTTGGAGCTGGCCCCGGCCTTTCTCTCTCTGGGCTCGCTTGAACCTCATACTTCCTCATCCTAGCTTCCATCTTCCTCAAAGCCAAGATCAGATCCAGTAGTGGTGGTCAGTAGACATAAATCTCGTACGAGCGATGTAAAGTTGTTAATGGCTCCGGTGTGGAAACCCATCTCTTGGCCTCTTTAGCAGATTAGGCTCGATTAGGCTCATCATTCCCAAAGTGCAAATGTTTTCAAGAATAATCCAATCAACGACTTTCCGTGGTTCGCTGCAATTGGACGCTTTCTGTTTGATTTAATCTAATAAATCTATTTGTGGGCACATATGATTAATCAATGTGTATTGCTATCTTTCAGGATAACCCACTAAAGTGATCAATTAAGTTGGGTTAATTTGGTATTTAAATAAGTCATGGGGTTATATGTGCAGATACCAGGTTGTAATTGTGATTTATTGAGGAGCTAAATTACAAAAGTACAACATCTATAAATAAGGGGTTATGGTCCCTAACCTAGGGTTACATTCTCTAATTCTCTACACCCCCATCTAGCTAGAGAAATTCGGATTTAGAGAAACCCTAAGGTTAGAAGATCAAAACCCATCTCAAGATCAAGCAATGGATTCAGGTATAAGCTTCCGCTCTTTTAGATTCTTGTTAATCTCTTTGAATTAATCATGGCTATATGGTTTTAGATCTCAAATTTTATGATGTAGATATAACAAGTGGTATCAGAGCCACCTTGATTAATTCTTAGGGATTTAAGTTATATTGGGTTTTTGATCTTAAATCTCTGGTTAAAGATTTAAATTTTTTGGGTTTGGATGAACAGTAACGAAAACTTTCGGATGAACAGTAAAGTTTTTGTTCGGATGAGCAATAAAGTATTTTTTTGGATGAACAGTAACTTTTTTGGAATTTTTTGGATTTTTCTTTGATTTTTTCTTCAATTTTTTCCAATTCTGGATCTGTTTTGAAAATAAAAATCAAAGATTTTTGGGTTTGTCGGCGGCGGTTTCAATTTGAAACCCTAAGGGTTCATGGCGAAAATTAAGGAGGTGGTTACCTCAAACGAACCTCGCGTTCGTTCAATTTTAACCGAACTTCTTGGGAATTTTTTGGATTTTTCTTTGATTTTTTCTTCAATTTTTTCCAATTCTGGATCTGTTTTGAAAATAAAAATCAAAGGTTTTTGGGTTTGTCGGTGGCGGTTTCAATTTGAAACCCTAAGGGTTCATGGCGAAAATTAAGGAGGTGGTTACCTCAAACGAACCTCGCGTTCGTTCAATTTTAACCGAGCTTCGCGCTCAACGAACCTCGCGTTCGTTCTAAGGTGAACCTCGCGTTCAACTCAGGTGAGCGTCAAGCTCAATTTTAACGAACCTCGCGTTCGTTCTAAAGTGAACCTCGCGTTCAATTCAGGTGAGCGTCAAGCTCAATTTTGACGAACCTCGCGTTCGTGCTTCAGACGAACCTCGCGTTCGAACTTCAGACGAACCTCGCGTTCGAACTTCAGACGAACCTCGCGTTCGAACTTCAAACGAACCTCGCGTTCGAACTTCAGACGAACCTCGTGTTCATTTTTAACGAACCTCGCGTTCGTTCCCAAATTGAACCTCGCGTTCTTTTATCAAACGAACCTCGCGTTCGTTCATTTTCAGACGAACCTCGCGTTCGTGCTTAAGTGAGTCTCGTACTCAATACAGTCGAACCTCGCGTTCGAAGTTAAGGGAACTTCGTGTTCATTATGGTTAAGCCTCGGCTTTTCATGGGTCCACTTTGGTATACTTAATTTATTCAATTAAGTTATGGGCCCTAATTAAGCTGTGAGACCCCAATTAAGTTTTTGGAAATTCAGTTGATTTAAATTTTTTAATTTAAATCTAATTCGGTTTTTAATCAATTATTTAATTCAAATATTATGACACTAAGGTATTAAGGTTGTCTCTCACTCCAATTGATTAATTGAAACAAGAAGTTGCCAAAGTAACCTCTCTTGTGTAGATTGTTCATGAGGAATGTGAGATGTTTGTGTGTATGCTTTCGTGTAAATATTTAATCGGCCCAAAGGAAGGTTAATATTTATTTAGACTGTATACACATCTGCGATGATAAGCGTGTGACAATTATAAGGTTTACATGTGAATAATGAATCGATCCAAAGATAGTTTCATTATTTGACATGAGTTATTGTCAATGTTTGATCATTGCAACAAGGTATCACTTACAAGTTAATATTACTGTCCAAAGACTTGATATTAATGTTGTGCCGGTATCTTGGATGGGGATTGTCATTATTTGAATTTTATTGATTATGGTTATTGATGTGAGCATTCTTTTGTTTTATTTCAGCTAATGCATCTGCTGCAACAATTTCTGCTAACATCAACTCAATTCCCATGCTAAATGGGACAAACTTCAAGGTTTGGAAAGAGAACATATTAATTGTTCTTGGCTGCATGGATCTTGACTA